GTGTGGCATAGATGCTGAAGCAGTTTTTCACTATTTGCACATTTTAGCCACAAGCAATTAACTGGATATTATTAAGAAATGTAAAATAGAAAAACCTATTATACCTCTTTGTAATGACTAAAATATGCACGTTTAAATTGTTTTTGCCTGCAAGGACTTGCCAAAATTATCTGTACATTTATGCCCTATGGGCTATATGTTAAAAAAAGAAAAGAAATTAACTGCTGCAATTAGTATGTCTCTCCTCAGTTTCACTCACTTTCCTTGTTGTCTGCTGTGTCTGCTGACAGTATAAAGAAAGTTGTATAAATTCATGTCCGCTTTTAATATCTATTATGATTTCTCTATTAGAGAAAGGGGGAAAAGTTTTATTTTTTTGTCCATTTCCATTTATTAATGAAATTCATATTCTCTTCTAAATCTTTGATGGTGTTTTAAGGCTTTGTTTGTTTGTTTGTTTTTCATGGAGTATTTATTTATATCCAGGCACCTGATGATGGTTATTATGTTGTGGTTATAGTGTCTCATGATGTTACAAGTTGAATTCACTTTTTAGTCAAGGATGTTAACAGGTGCCCACTAATCTCTTCTGTACTTTTTTTCCTTTTTTTTTTTTTTTTCTTCTGGTGTTCCTTTCCCTCTTTTCTTTCCTCAGTACTTCAGTCCCATCTGCTTACTGACTTCCGTTAGCCGCAGTTACATAAACTTTTTCTTCTGCCATTAAAAAGTAGAACATAGGAAAAAATAAGAGACATGTAACAAAACAGAAGGAAAAATAGCAGATAGAGGAAAAGAGCGTGGAGTCTTTTGGTCAGGAAAAGAGCAGTTGCTTCAAAAGTGATTGCTGCAGTCTCATGTTTCCATAAACATATCAACAAATTAGAGCATCAAAGTGAATTGTTTCAAGCAACTATCGGGAGAACTGTTGTTTAAGATACTTTCACATAAAGCAACAAAAAATAAACACCTGCCAGCTACCTAAGTCCTTAAATAGTCCTGCCTTGTTAGTGCTGCTTCATGTACTGTGTGTCATTTTATGGTTATATATCCTGAAGTTTGTTTTTCTCCTCATGGTAAAATCTGATGAGGCTTTTTAGTGTTAGTCTGTCTCTTACTGTGCAAATATGGAAAACAATCCTAAATCTTTGAACTTGCAATCCATAGTCACAGCAGGTCTGTCCACAGCTGCCTACAAGTTTGCATTCCTACCACATGCAGTAAGGCTTTCTCCACAGACCCATGTCACCAAGGAATTCAGTGAGGAACAAGAAATCTTCAGTTAGAGAGGTGCCGCAAATGTGTGAAAAAAATAGCCTCACATAAACAGTAAAGGTCATTAGCAGGCTCTTCAACTCCTGACTAGGAACTGGTTTTTTGGATCATTAACAATAAAAAGCCTAGGAAATGAATAGGACTCAGTGTCCTATTAAAAATTAGCCAGAACAATTAAGAGGTTTTCCAATTTCTAATGGGAACCAGGCCTAATAGCTCATTTTCCCTTGTTTCTGCATTTTGAATTACATTAATTTTATGTCCTTCTATTTTTAAAGGAATATCTTTAAGTATTTTTTCTATATAGGTGTTGTAAATTATTTACAGTAAGGGCAGTGAAGGCTTGGGAGAAGTGGAATCTACTGTCTCCCAAAGTCTGCTTTACTGATCCAAAGTCTTGTGAATCTAAACTAATGAAGTGAGCTATGAAGGGATTACTTACTATGTGTACAAATGCATACTTTGCAGCCTCCTAATACAGTTGCAGTATTATGAGAACACATATATTAAGATGCTCATTTAGTTGCATAGGCACAGGCTTTTTTTTAGAGTGAGATGTCTCTCCTTAGGAACATACTTACTTCTTTGAACTTTTCTGATTTCAACAGCAGCCTTTCTGCTATCATTTCAAAATAAATTTCTTGCTGTTGGTTTGTGTGTAAATTACTCGTGGCTATTTAAGAACTATTTTCTCTCCAGCTGCATGCTTTTCCTTAACCCTAAAATGATTTCGGCAGGAGAAGATTGCAAACAGTGAGCTTTTATTATATTTAATACACCTCACAAAAAATAAATTTAAATACATTCCTTAAACATGCATTCTTGCAAACATGTCTTTTATAATGAACTGAAGTGAGGAAGAGACAAAGAAAGAACAAAAAACAAATAGTATTTTATACTGCTTTGCCTGCAAGCCTGCTGCTCAGGAGGAAGACTCCAACATGATTATGAATATTTTTCACTCTATGGCTGCTAAAGTCATTTACCTTTCCATTGGCCTTAGGTACTAAATCTCCCCACCTAACTTTTAGGTAATAATCAAAGTAAACTCTGAACTAATTGGTGGTAGAAGCCAAATGATTTTCCTGAAAGGAAAAAGGAAAAAGAAATTTGTCCAAGGAAAAGAAGATTACAGATAACTGAACTGGGGGTAGTGGGGGAAAAAAAAATAAAAGAAAGGTAGAAGAAGACGATTTCTCTAATTGTGTTCATTCTATGCTTATTCTTTTTCACCAGATGCAGAGTTTATTTCTGCAGTGATTGAATTTCCTGGTCATTAACATAAAATTAACTCCAAATGGTCTTGGCCAAGAACTTTGAAATATGTTAGTATAGAACCACTCAAAAACATGTGGAAATCCATGTGGATTTCCAGATGTGAGAATATTCTATGATATAAATATAGTTATGTTTACATAGCATAATATTCTGTTGTGTGATAATACCCTAGATGTAGCTGTGCTTCAGTAGTGCTTTATACTGTGGTTCTATACCTGAATGAATGCATCTGTTTTCACAGAAATTCCATTCCAACAATAACTGTTTTGTAAGCATACATTGTCTGCAAGTTAAAATACTCCCTCAAGAAATCTAAGAAATTCAACATGCTAGTAGATTAGATTGACAGTGAAATATTTTAAAAATTACATATTTAACTTTTGATTTTTCACATGTTTTGATTTTCCCTCTCTGATATATTTTTCATTAGTATTTTCTTCACTAGGATTAAAATTTAAAGCCTAATAGAAGAGTTTGAAGAGGTTTTTTTTGTTTCTCTGATAAAGTGTTCACTGCTAAAGGTTGTGGTTTGATTTTAGTTATCAAAAGTATATTGACTGACAAGTTTAACTGAATCTCTGTATGATTACTGATTTTATGTTCATTTATATAGAGCTAATTACATAGAATGGTCTTTTGAGGCTTTTTGTTATTATTTAAAGGCCCTTAATATCTCTGTTTCTTTAATACGGTACTCTTATGTTCTCTAAGTGAACTCAAAGTGACGTTGTGAATGGAATTGCTTTATATAGGAAAAGACTAATAGAAAAATAAGGTTGAACAAATCTATAAAACACAAAGTATGTAAATGCAAAAAACAGTGCCTGAACTGTATAGTAATCAATATATAGTACTCATTCTTAGATATCACTAATGTGTGTATATTTTAATACGTTATGATGATTGAAAGTAACATGAAACGTCTTCCTGATGCATTTTCTCATAACGCTTTCTTTAACAAAGAAATAGTATTTTCTTCCAGACAGAAATCTCCCCTCATTCATGAGCAAGTAGTTTTCACACATAATCCACACATCATTGTGCTACTCAGGCTGTGATCTCATCTGGTTGTGATCAGAGTCATATCATGAATGTACATGAATAAGAGACCTTCAGGATGAAAACTCAGCTAGAGATCTGATACTGATCTTTCCTCTGAAATGACAGCAGTTCCAGTTATGTGTAGTGATCATAAATGAATAAAGTTATTATTTGACATGGACAAGGACAGCTACAGGGAGATTATCAGACTGTCAGCTGAGCCTATCTCTTGGACTTTGGGTAAAACCAAGCTTTTGGTTGTAGAGAGCATCTTTTCCATTTGATATTGCAAATTACAGGGGCTGCTCTGAAAATAATGCCTCCTATTTCATTATATTGGCCCATGATGCCAGAGGCAGATGGTGGTATGGCAGAAGAGGTTGAACCTTCCTCCCAGTATTCCATTACATTTTGTTACTGTGTGACAGATGGCAGTCATGGGGCAGTCTGATAAAATGGTGTCTGACAGGAAGTGTGTATAAAGCAAATATGTGGAATTTAATTTCTCCATGCAGAAAAAATTGCACCCATTGACATCTGCACAAATGCACAGATCAGCTAACAGTGGTGACTACGTTGAAAGACATTATTTTGTAGCTGAGTATTTGCTCTAATAAATGATGTTACTATGCTCTTTGAATTAGTTGTATTTTCCATGGAAATAGCATTACTTTTGGAGCAATCTATGTGTTTATAATATTTTCATATAAATATATGATTGTATTTTGTATATCACATATTTTGTGGGCAGATGTATTATATGTGTAACTAGAATATGTTTTGACTTTTCATTATCAGCTTGAAATTGTCAGGTAGTATTTTTTTTCTCTATTACCAGGGTGCGTTAAAAATTTCAAAGGCTAGAACCTCTCATTGCAAAACTTGGTAAACAAAATGCCCTTCCCTGTTCTTCACCATACCAGTAATATCAGTCATAATCTTCAATATTGAGCTTTAAGAAATGTCCAGTATTGCCCATATAGTCTTTTAGCAATGACTTTTTTTTAGACTTTTAGCAATGTGTTGTTTTGCTTTCACAGATGCACGTGTGTGACTGCATGTATAACAAACCAAAATATATGAAAAATAAACCAGTGATATTTTGCAGAAGACTCTTGGCAAAATTAAGGGCCTCTTGCTGCCTTTTGGATATCAGCGTTCTTTCCTAAATTTCAACACCTAATCTATCTAGAACCTAGAGGAGATATTACATAAACTAAGCAGTTATGTAAATGTATGTTTAAATTCAGTTTGAATTAAAAAAACATTGGTATAAACTTAAGACTTCTGCCAGTGCTTTTGTATCTCAAACTGTTTTATGGTACTGCTTTTCATTAATTGCATTTTAACAGAAGAAAGTTTTGTTTTGTTTTGTTTTCTTTTTTTTTTTACTTTTTTTTTTTTCTCAGATTGAAGAGAAAACGGGCCTCTCTGAAGAGCAGCTTAAAACCCTTCTGGAAGAATGTATGCAGCCTCAGAGAACAATAAGCAACGTTTCCATGCCAGAGTCTCAGGAATCTCTTTCTTGTGGATTAAGTCCCCCTTGTTACACAAGTCAAGACTCCATTCTTCACTCCACATCTACTCTTTCCAAAATGTTAGTTGAAGGCCATATTGTAGGGATGTTAACAGCTCTGGAAAAGGCTGGACTTGAAGACAAAAGCTTATGTGTTAATGCTGAGAGTGAAATCCCTAGCTACTATATCGGCAAAGCATTGGCTGATAGTCACTTATCAAAGGATTCACTGGCCCAAACAGAGGAACCTGATGACCTAGAAGGTTTACAGAAGATGAGAGATAAGAGTATTACTGAAGGTTACTTTATGTCAAGAGCACTCAACACTGAAAGGCTGAAGAAACCTTCTTTCTTGGGTGAACCATTATACTGCATCAGCATGAACAATGAGCCATCCACAGAGCCTGACATTCTCAGCATACCACTGCAAACCAAAGGAGGTGAGACCCTTAACAATCTTTTAGAATAGGCTTTTGATTGTGATGAAAGAAACAAGCAGGTTCTCACCAAAGGTATGCACCAATGTGCATTGGCTATTATGGTAGGGCAAGGAGGTACTTTTATAAAACGCCAAAAATAACAAATGCTAAATAACAGAATGTTTATCAAGATTCTTCCCCTCACAGTAACAGGCTGTGAGATTAGAAATGAAATACAGTAATGATGGTGATCAGTTCTCTCATCTGGAAAATGGTATGCTTACACTTTTTATCTTCCTGGTAGTAGGAAATCATGTTCACTGTTCTGTGGAGAGAAATTATTCTCCCAGTTTTTAATAAGGTAAACACTGGAATATAGAAAAAACCTTGACTTAGTTATATTAAAAATAACAAGTTTATTTCAAATTTATGTATAGAAAATATCAGAAAGAGTAAATAATACATAATTTTTAAACTACTTTTAATTCAGCAAAGAAAGAATAGAGTTTTTCTAGCAAAGATTAAGTTCGCCCTATCTGGTGAAGAAGATTTTGGATACATCTCTATCCTTTGTTGTATAAGATCACTTTTCTTTCCGGAAAACGAACTGTTTAAATAAGCCAGATTGAAAGTGAGTACATCTAGCATATCTTCCATTTCTTTCATAAAACTGTGACCGTATGAAGTTGCTTTTGATCTACGGTTTAATTGTATTTTAAATTAATAAATTGTCAGAATAGATCTTTGTTGTACTGGTATCTTCAGAATTTGTGGAAAGTTTTTTTTCCCCTTCCCTTTCAGTGGAAGTTTAGAAGAGCATCTTGATACTTCTTAGCTGTGTTATTACAAATTATTATCACAACAGTTTCTACAGTGAGGGGAATGATAGTATCTTTACAAAAAGTGATTCTACCTACCAGGAAATAAGAAAACTTGTTATTGCTGATTTTATGCTGCCAGGCTTACTTAGTTTCCAGACCCATCTGCTATAATTACCCAATATTTGTGTGTAATGATATTTAGGCTGTAGCTTCAACAGAAAGAAAATACAGAAAGCAATTCTTTGGGATCGGTTAGTTTACAGCTAACATTGCATTATTAACCTCACTCTTAATGCAGATGCAAGCATCTGAAGAGTGGAGACAGAGAAAAAGCTGGCCTGCCCTAGAGGGCAGACAGGTGGTGGTCATGAGAATCAGAGAAGTGCCTGTGCCAGGGGCAGCTTCATCTGATGCAGGAGTGAAGTGACTAGATACAGTCTTGTTTCTCAAGCAGTCAACAGTGAGAAAAACTCATGCTTAACCTGCTGCTTTAACATGAATTGAAGTTCTTTTTGACTTAGTCTGAATAAAGGTAGTACAGTCAGAGACAAATCAGAGCCGTCCACTATCTTTTGTTCTTAAGATGTTTTAAGATGTTATGTATGTTAATTCAAGCAAAATGTCCTGCGCTGTAGCCAGTGCATAGTGAAATGAGTAGGTAACTGCTTATGCTGTTGTTATAGACATAGTCAATATGAGATAATTTTATTGCACAAGAGGGAAAGGAGATTTCAGCAAAGCATGTGCTATTAGTAGTTTTCTGCATGAATATCTTGTTGTGAAAGTGTAAGAGTCTTTAAAGTGACTTTAAAAATACTTGAATCATAATCATACGCTGTGTCAGAGCAATGCAATAAGGTGTTTTAATTATCAATTTTTGTAGTGGCTGCATAACCTTCAACCATATAGATCTCACTGTGTGGTTAGTAAATATCCTTACTAAATGGCCATTTTTCTTACCTGTTCACAATTTCAGAATTCTCTCTGAATCTTTTCATTTTCAATGAAAACTTAAAAATGAAACCAAGGAAAATTCCTTATAGATGTTGTCAACTCATCAGACATTGAGTGATTGTGTCTGAGTCTGATTTTTAAAAATGGTGTGAACAGGAGTAGTCTTTGGAGGAACAAAAGTGCGTGCAAAATAAAACACACTCCATAGCTTTGTAATTGTTATTACATTACTGGCAAATATCTTGCAGTTATCTGTAAGTTTAAGTTTAAATTTTGTTCAGGTTTATTATATTCAGTTAATATTTAGTCTAACCCTAAAATATATATCCAAAACTAACATTTAAATAGCAGCCCATTCTTACTATTTTTTCTCAGTGTACTGCTCATAAGGAAATGTAAAGATTTAAAGAAAAAAAAAAAAACAAAAAAAAACCACCAGGAATTCTGCCTTTCCACAGAATTATGTTATTTGTTTTCGACAAGGGCAACACAGTTCCATCTTATACAGTTATTCATGGCCATAACAGAGAAGTTGTATGCTTATCAAGTCGGTGCAGTTGCCTAGTGTATTCCACAGATAAACCTTTTATTATTAGTTTAGTCAGGATTACATGTGCTAATTGTATTGAGAAATGGAGATCCCAATGGAGTCCAATTTAAAGCAAATTCATTTTCAGATGAAATTATGAAACACGTCAGGTTTGTTTTTAAGAAAGGTACATAGATACAGAGCTCTGTTCCAATAGTAGTTCTAAAAGATTTTACCTGTACATGAATAATATTCTGTAGGTGGTTGGATTGTCTGGCTTTCTGCACCTGGTTCATGATGTGTAAGCAAATAAAAATCGTATTTGTGTAAAACTGATTTATCACAATTTGGTTTCACAGTCTCTATAATAGTATAGTCTGTGATACAGGTTTACTGTAATATATCATATATACATCTTAAGGAAAACATAATTACTAACATTGTTAAGTAAGCTTTTTTTTTGTAAGAAATTTTAAGTAGATCTTACTCACTGCTTCTTCCTCTTATGAATAATATTGTGCTTTCAGCAATTCATGTGACACTTTCTTTTTTACAGATGATACGAAGATTGAAAGTTGAGGAGAAAGTGACCATTTGCTTCAGTACACAGCTTTTCTAAATTTGTCATTAGACTTCCACCAGTAATATTTTCATTCATTTCAGACACTCCAGAGGGAATGAATTCTCACTGAAAACTTTTCCATGACATAATCAATTCTTAAGAGAAAATTATTATCATATATTGTTGCAGTTTGATTTCAAAGTATATAATCTTGCACTTCATTAAATTTCATGAGAGTATAATAAATAATTATACACATGCATAATAGTTGTACATATGATTTTGTGTATCTACCTATCTGATAGATATGCAGGTAGGTGTAAAATATATAGAATAGTTTGTTGTTGTTTTCCTTACACACAATGTACTGTTTGCATGAAGTCAGCTTGAACCTGGTCTCAGTGATCTCAGTACAGTTTACTGCCTGTGAGCCCTGCCTGAGTGAATGACACAAGCACCCAGTGCCTATCTGCTGGATGTTGCATTGGCTGTAGGTAAGGACTTGAACTGCTCCTCTGCTGGATCGGGGTTGGGACCAGTCTGTTCAGCTGTGTTTGTGCAGTGGTCCTGTAGAGTTGGAACTATGTGGCAAACAGGCATATCCTCTTATTCAGAAAAGTAATGAAGTGGGGAAAGATGGCAGCCACTTTGGGAAGCTTGGTGTGACTAAAAGTGAAGGGATTTAATGTGTGCCTGACAGTGACTAGAATGTCAAGCCTTGCAGCAATGGCTGGCTGGGGTGAGGGTGGTACAGCTAATTTGTGTATGAGATAATAATAACAACTCATTACAACATTTTGCTTGTCTACTCCTTAACTACTATTTCTCTTGGATTTAATACATACGTATTGTGAGCTGGTGGTTAGTTTCTCATGTTATGCTCTATTACGTTAGAATAAGAAGATATTAAAGGTTCTCTTTTAAAGGCATTTTTTTGGGGGAGGAGATATTTTAGCAAAAGTACTCCCATAGATTTTCTTGTTGATGAGGTCTCATCTGACAGAAAGGAAAAATTCTTCCTAAGTTACAATATTAGCCATTTAATATTCAGCAAGGACAGATTTATGAATACAATATAAAATATACAATGGCTGCATTATAGCATACTGGAGTTAATCTAAATGTTTAAATCAATGCACATACTGGCCAAGATTTTAATCCCATTTGTGAAATTGCCAGTCTAAGTGGACTTGTGCTCCTGTATCAGTGGTGATCATTCAGAATCTAACCTACTTTATTTTATCTAGAAATGTAATTTACTTTGTGATTACCATGTACTATATGGTGTTCTACTTTCTAATGATTTTACTTGTGTTGCAGCAATAGCAACAAGCACATGGATAATGAGCATTCTGCACTGTCCTCTTGCTCTTTATGGAAGGATTGCTTTAAGCAGATCTCATAGAGCTTTGCAATTTTACTTAACTAACTGTATTTCTTATAGTTAAAAATTATAAACCTACCTATGCCAAAGTTTATTTTCTGTACCATAAATATAATCAAAACAATACCAGCAAACTTTTTTCAGTAGAGGATAGCAGGGCTGTCCTCTGGCTGTAAACTTATCACAATCCAGTTATATTTTTGCATGGAGTTAGTGTTTTATAGAATCCTCCTTAAAATAGTATTAAAAGGCTAGGATAATTTTTGAGGAAAACTAAGTTCTTTTTCAATTTTATATGTAGAATACCTACAATATATGTTAAGAGAAATGATTTGTTCTTTCTTTTCTAGTATATATTTTGTTGTCTTAAATCTCTCACTGTTACAAAAAAGCTTCTCCAAGCATCCTTGAGGAAGAGCATTGTCACTTCATTATCCTTGGAGCCATGAATACAGATTCTGTTCACATCTGACATTTCAGGGGTGAGCACATTGTTCTGAATGATGTCTGATGCATATATTCTGATAGGAAATCTGCAATTACACTTACTGATGGTGTAACAATTCCCTATTTACCTGTGCTTGGTTACCCTGGCATTGTATTGCATATGAGTTCTTTGGAAAGATGGTGTTTCATGCTTGATGTTAGAGGTGAAATATAAATTCCTTTTTTTTTTTTTTCTTTCTAGTTTTATGTTAAACTATAGGATGTAAGTTCACTGATAAGAAGTATAATATAATAGAGATAAAATATAGCAATGAGATTATTGCTGAAACAGCACCAATATGAGTCAAAGCAAAGTTGAGCCCAGGAGAATTCATGGTTTTTGACCTTGTCCTTCAGACTTTTTGGCCTGTTTTATTCTGCGGAATAAGTTCTGTGTGCACAGATTTGTACTTTTTTATACTCTGTGTTATTTCCTACTGAGATTTTACAGCACAAGGTAAATAATTTTGTTCCAAAAAATGTAATACTTGTGGGGAAAAAAACCATGAAAGGATGGTTTTGGTTGCTTGTCTTGATTTGCTCAGTGGTATAGGGCCAAACTATTCTCCTATTGTCACTGAATCTCCTCAGGATTATGCATATGTATAGTGCTGGTGGTTTTGGTAGCCAGCACACTGTGTACTGTGATGTGTGTGTTTCAGTTCTGCATGGTTTGTGCTTTTAAATAACAAACTCCAAAGTGTTTTCTTCTGAAGAAGAAAAATAAGGGTGATTCATTTTTGTGACTTATACACATATAATATATATATTAGAAATATCTATATTTGAGTGGGATGACTTAAAGAGCAATAGTTTTGATTTCAGTATCAAGAAGTTCAGTGCAGGTGTGTGTAGTTAGGCAAATGCATAGCAGTTGAGGATCTTTTCTGTTTTCAAAGAGAAGTGACATGCTAAAATTCTAGATGGAAAGTAAATCGCCGATAGGTGGAAAAGATTGAAAAGAGTAAAGTTATGGTTAATATTCTTATATATCCAGAATTCCAGATTAATTTAAAGCAATTCTGAAAAGGGGTGAAAAAACTTGCAACTCCATCTTAAAGGGGAAAATAACAAAAGAGATGAAGACTTCTGCCAGATTCTTTCCAAGGCAGAAGATGGCTGCTGCACACCTTTTGAGTCTTCAGTGTGCTCTCTCCTATCTTCGAGGCTGAATCCAGAATGGTAAGGGTTTTTCTATTTTATAAAGTAATACTCTTTCTCCCTTCTCTTTGTGTCTCTTCTTAGAAAGTCTTCTTTACCACAGCTTTAAACAAGATCCCCCCTCTTTTGATTTTTTGGTGCAAAATCTGTTAGCCAGTTTACCTTTCCAACAGCTCTTCCTTGCGTGGTTGCCACAAAGGAGTCTTGCCTACCTTTGGGCATCGTGCTGTTTGATGGGTGCAGAAGACAAGGTGCTTTGGCAGCTGCCTGGGAACTTGTTAAATTATGAAAGTTCTTGAGATCTAGGAAAAATAACAACATTTGTCTTTTTCTTTTTCAAATTTTCAAAATTATTGCTTTCTTTATTTGTAGCTAGATGTAGAGGTCAGGAAAATGGTTTCCTTTATAAATAAAACAGAAACACTGGAATACTACTAAAGCCATAACCAACAGTTATCCAATTATACATTTCAGTTAGGGATTGGCTGCAATCCAGGTGCAGTATTAAGAATAAAAGGCTTTCTGCCATTTAAGTCTATGTGAAATACTTTCTGCTTGCAATTGAATCTGCAGTACCTAGTATGCTTTAAAAAAACCCTACAACAAACTGGGATGCTGTGAGTGTATATTAATTTATAGAGTGCTAAAGTACGTGACTAATTTTGACATATTCTTCAAGTAATAGTAAATATTGTGGACTTAGAATTCCTCCCCACCCCTACTTAAAAATGTGCTGTCTTTGCTGTGTTCTTGTGGAAATGCCATCCTATGCCATTATTTTCCTATTGTTTGCTTTGTGTATTTGGTATGCATAGCTTTGGTGGGAAGGGTACTGCCAGAGGCATTCTACCCTAATTTTACAATAGCACTGAAATTGCCTCTCCATTTCACTCTGGGAGTGGAGTCATCCAGGCAGACTGACACTGTATCTAAGCAGTTTTCAGTTCAGCTCTTGTGCTTGTTGCCTAATCAAGCAGTTCTTGAACTCGAATGTTGAAAAATTAAAGACAAATGGTGGCTTCCTAGAATTTGTATCGATTTGAAAATCTGAGTTTCTCTGGGATACTTGTCCATTTTTGTGGGTTTCCTGTAGAAGATTTTATCGATCTTTAAGACCTTTGCCTGCTGCACTTCTCTCTAAACAGCTCTCCTTTTTTGCCTCTTTCTAACTGCCTATTTGTACAGCTTTGTGCGCCTATTCCTTCACTTGTAGAAAAGATGAAGAACTAGGTATCACCTTATGAAGGATGTATTAAGATGCTCTCTTTTTATAGTCTCATAGTTCCTTTCTGAAATGCGTTTGGGCTTAAAATCAGCTAATTACTGTATTACAGTCTTCACTGTAGCATCAAAACATTCTTAATTGTTTCTTGGGCAAATGCTCTACCTAGCCTCAGTTTTAGCTTCTTGTGGCCTCTTATATTCACATTCCCCAAGCAACAAGTGGGCACACTTAACCTAAGTGTTAACAGAAAACATAGGGCATGTCTTTAAGACATGCATAATTTTTAATTCAGACACTACACTAATTTATATTGTGTAAATGCTTGTAATAAATTAGCATGAAAGGCTGGCTTGGGTTGAGAGAAGGTCATTGGAATTGGCTGCCAAGAATAACAGAGATAAAATATGGTGACAAGATATTTACTGAAATGCTGCTGATATAGTGTACAAGTAGAATTGAGCTCAGGAAAATCCATGGCTTTTTTTTTTTTTTTTGAGAGAGCTCATGAGACAAACCACTGTGACAAGGAAGGACTGAGATGCTGGTTGTACTGCTTCTAGTTGAGATGGTGCCACCTCACCAGCTTTTTGACTACAGCAGCAGTCTGGGTGGAAGACTTAAACAGATAGGCATCTGCCTCTGCAGCTGTTTATCCTGATGTCTCTTTTCATGTGGAAGAAAAGCATGAGGCAGGCCTGGCTAGGGAGGAGTATATGATTAAAATCCCTCAGAGGTTGTTTTCCCCTTGTGGCTTTGACCATGCTTAGAGAGTCCACAATCATGCCTTTAAGACTGAATTGAGCTACTGCCCCTTAACTACA